TGCAGCGCTTCCGTCAGAAACAGTTTCGGCACATCAGCAGCAACGACGTGGGACGGCTGAGCCGTAGTGCCACCCCCCGCAGCAACAAACTCCACTCCCGCAACAGGCGGAACCGGTGGCAGATGCAGACGAGAGCCGGGAGCAGGCGCCGAAAAAGAAGGAGAAGGAGCCGATGGGGCGAGGACAGGAGGAGGAAAGGCAGCAGCTGGCGGAGGGTCCATGGGAGGCCCAGTCTGACGAGGAGCCACGTGCGCTGGCGCGGCCCGTAGTGAACTGCTCTGGCTCTGCGCCGCCCTCTCCTCGCGCACGGCACGCGACACCTCCCGCTGAAGATCCGCCATTGTCACAGGCGGGCGGAATGCCCCGCGGGGACCCCTCCAGCCCCCATTGCCACCGTGACGAGCAGGCCACTGAGCCTGCTGCTGGTAGCGCCGGGGAGAGTTGCGCCGGCGCCGCGTCGACTCGCGCTCCTGCTGGGGTGCAGGAGAATGGGGGCGTGATAGTCGGCGGTCTGGCGACTGGGGACGATTCGGCTGCACTACAGGGGCCGCCGACAGCAGAGCGGGAGCAGGCTGGCCCACGCCCGGAGGCGCAACCATCGGAGCCGGGCCGTCAGTGGTGGCGGACGCCGCCTTCGGGGAAGAAACAGACGCCGACGCAAGCTCGCCAGGAACAGAAACGGCAGGTGCAACGGGGGTGCCAGGGACAGGGACAGGGGGAACAGCAACTCCCCCAGCAGGAGCAGACGCGGCCGGCGCAACAACGGGAGCAGGGGGAACAGGAGCGACAGGCGGAGCAGGAGGAGCAACAACCGGGGCCGACAGGCCAGCCTCGCTCACGTCATGGGGACCCACGGATACGAGGGGAAGAGCCTTTTCAACGTCTATTGTCACGGGCTTCGGAGCAGACGGCGGCGGGGACTCCGTCGCCGTGGTCCCCGCTCCGGAGGCAGACGACGGCTTTTCAAACACAACCGACGCAGCGCCAGCGCGCATTGGCGAGTAATCGGTCACTCCAGCAATCACCATCGCGAGGCCGAGGAGCGCGAGGCGGAGGGCGAGAAGCGGCTAGCGGACAGGGAGGAGGGCCGGAGAACGTCTATCAGTCGGAGGCACGTAGGGCTTTAACCAGACTAGATAATGAGGATGACGAAAGAAGGGACCCCTCTTATAGGGAGGAGCCCATGCCTGCGAGCGAAGACGAAGGGACGGAAGGAGAGGAAGGAATAAGGGAGAACGCGGGGAGGACGGGAGCAGGACCAAGGCAGTCCCGTGGCGAGCAAAGGGATCCGGCTCGTGGACCGTCCGATGCCGATCGTACAGGCGAGATTCCAACCACACCACCACAAGCGAGGACGAGCCGCACTAGGCGAAATCGGGCCACGACAGACACGGCTGCGGGGCGAGAAAATTCCAATTTCCCCCGCTATTTCACGCCAGAGGAGGTGGCGATGCGGGCAGACTGGTTCGCGGACATCGCGAACTGGGATATCCCTGCCCTCTGCGACAGTCGGCAGCCAGCCCTGGCACGGCGGTTACCGCCAAACTTGTGTCAGTTGTTTTCGCTGGCGCTACTAACTCCGTTACTCCACTTGTCACGAAACCCGGAATCCGAGGCTGGTTGGCGCCTTCTCCTTTTTCTCCCGCGTCTGACGCTTCGCCAAAACTCGCCACTGAGACCGAACTGGCCCCAGATCAAGGCCTGGCTCCGAGCCTTCCAGCGTGGCGAGTGGGACCAACTGTACAGGGAGGCGATTGACGCAGTCAACACACCCGCGCCGCCACGTCATCAACCCGATGCTACCGGGGTCATTAGCCGAGCCGAGGGCCTGGCGAAACGGGGCAGTCTACGCCGAGCCGTGTTGGCGTTAGAGTCAACGCCAGTCTGCAAACCGACTCCAGAAATACTGGACGAGCTCCGACGGAAACACCCAAGAGCCGAACTAGGGACGACAACGTGGCCACCCCGACGAGAGTCAAAATTGTCCATCACCCACGCGGATTTCGCCAAACTGCTGGGGAGGTGCGAGAACGGGGTCGGTGCCGGACCTTCGAGGACAACTTTCGAGCACATGCGCGACGCGGCAATCACGAACGGACGAGTCAGCACCCATCTGCACGCATTGATAAACACCATTCTGGGGGGCAACCTTCCAGGACCAGTGGCGGACCTACTGACAGCCTCGCGACTCATAGCCCTAGCCAAACCTGGTGGGGGTGCTCGACCAATTGCCATCGGCGAGTGCATCACCCGGCTGACAGCCAAGGCAGCCCTCGCAGCCATGGCCGATGCTGCACGTGACTACTTCCTGCCTCTACAATATGGGGTGGCTGTGCCAGGGGGAGCCGAGGCAGTTATCCACGTGGCACGGGCGTATCTGGACAAGCTATCCAACAGCCTGGTATTGCAAACCGACATCTCGAATGCTTTCAACAGCATCTCTCGACAAGCCATCGCGACGGCGTTATAGGAGCCCGGGCTTTCGCCACTAGTGCCGCTGGTGAAACTGACCTACGGTAACCCGTCCAAGTTGCATCTCGACGCCAATTTCGAATGCGACCCACTGACCAGCGAACGAGGCGTACGGCAAGGTCACCCACTTGGCCCTTTATTGTTTGCGAATTTCGAATACACCCAGCACTTCGCGACACCGCCGAGGCATATCCCCACGTGCTTTGTCTGGCCTACGCAGACGATGTCACATTCCTGGGGAATGCGGCGGACACTGTAGCTGCATTCAATCATTTCACCGAGAGTCTGGCGCACCTGGGGCTAACACGCAACGCACAGAAATGTGCAGCCTGGAGCAGGGAAGGAGCAGTGAAGGACCAGCTTCCGCGGGGAGTGCCTTTTTCCCAGAACGGCGTGCGCTTGCTTGGCAGCTTCATGGGTCCTGACAGCGGGGCGTCGCAGTTCCTGTCGGGTCAGCTACGGGAAATGGCAAAACCTTTGCCACTCCTTGAGAAAGCCGACCCCCAGGTAGCATCACTATTGCTCACCCGCTGTATCTCGAGGCGGGTGGCATACCTCACCAGAACAACGCCGCTCCACCTTCTGCCTCACGACACCTGGAGTCAGTGGGGGATGGATCTGCTTACAGCGCTACTGACAGCATGCAGCATCCGTGTTCCCACCTGCCGCGCTGAACAAGCACGTGTCTGGGCGCAGGCGTCACTGCCGCCGTCATTGGGGGGGATAGGCATTATCGACCCCCTAATCGAGGGAGTGTACGGTTACGCGGCGAGCTTCACACAGGCCGCGCTCTTTCTGGCATCACTAGAAGGCGCCCCTGATGGCGCGCTGATGCAGGCCCGGGACCACATGCTGCTGCCTGCAGACGTCGCCACGCCTCTCCACGCGTGGCTTTCGGAGTGCGAAGCGGCTTTACCAGTTGACGCACGGGAGATCTTGGAGAAAGAGCGGCTGGAGCGATCAGACACCAGACTCCAGCACGCATTGGCACTGAGGGTACATGGGAGCAGATATGCCGTGCAGGTCATGGAGACACGACGGATGGCACCGAACCCCCTGTGCGGACACACGCAGCGGATGTAGTCACTGACAGGTTACGGGACCGGGGATTGGCTGACGGCTATCCCCATTGCGGTAAACAGGAGGATAGGGCCCACCCACTTCTCTAACGCCGTGCGCTTCCGGCTGGCCCTCCCTTTCTCCACACCGAAAATCTGCGACTGCGCAGACCATATTGCCATCACGGACCCCCACCTCCCTAACCACCTACTCCGCTGCGGCACGGGCAAGCACCACATCAACACCCATAATGAGCTGTGCGATGCCTGCATTAGCATGGCCCAAGACGCGGGGTTCATTGTCCACAGCGAGTCATCGGCGCACTGCCCCATTGAGGAACAGACCGCTGATTTTACAATGACGGACAGAAGCAGCGGTGCCGTCTACGTGTGCGACGTCACTATTACCGATCCTATTAGCACTAGGGACCCAGAGGCGCAGAAGGGCAGGGGCTGGGCGGCACGGGAGCAGGCGGACAAGAAGATCCAGCACTACCCCACCCTGCCAAAGACGGTGAATTTCTTCCCTCTGGCGGTAGACACCTACGGCTGCCCTTGTGCGGAGGTGCCAGTTTTCCTGAAACTCTTGGCGGACACTGCAGCTCGGCGCCACTTCAACGCCGACTCCAAATCATTCTATGCTGCAAAGTTCCTACACCAGTTCAGGCAACGTTGGTCAGTGGCCCTCCAAAGGGCCCAATCTGTGGGCCTCTTGCTCAAACTTGGGGAGGCTGCGGTGGTAGAGAACCCGCCTGTGGGGGGGATTGGGGACGAGTTGCACCTTGGGGACTGCTTCGCAGTCATTGAGCCCCTAGTGGAGTTGTAGATTTGTGGTGCTTGTGCCTTGCATGTTAGTTAGCTATGACTCTATGACCTGCATGCTTGTACTTGGCTGCTATATCAATACAAGGACCATTAGAGAGAGAGAGAGAGAGAGGATCCTCTAGAATCCATATCCTGCATGCTTGTATCCCTTTGATTTATCAATACACGGTCAGTTAGAGAGAGAGAGAGAGGATCCTAGCCTCTGGTCTCTCCCTTTAGCCCTCTGCCCTCTCCTTGAGAGCTATATAAGAGGCCCCTCAGGGCCCCTTCACCTCATTGTTCGGCTGGTGCGGAAAAATTTCGGCTGGTGCGGAAAATTTTCGCTCGTTCGAGAGAGCGAGAGAGAGAGAGAGAGAGAGGATCCTAGCCTCTGGTCTCTCCCTTTAGCCCTCTGCCCTCTCCTTGAGAGCTATATAAGAGGCCCCTCAAGGCCCCTTCACCTCATTGTTCGGCTGGTGCGGAAAAATTGCTCGACAGCGCGGCCTTCGGCCGCGCTTGAGGGGACAGCAAGTGACAATACTAAGAGTTGCTCATATACAACGGCATTACAATCATGGCTCCTCCTACAACAACCTAGACAAGCAAATCAAAAATGGGGCGATCGGAGCCCGCATCTATATGCGGTGAGCTCCAAGGGCGTGAAGAATGCCCGTCAGGGAGCGCCACAGCTCGCGGACCACTAGCGTGCTTGCGCCGATCGCCGCGGCTCCATCCGCGCAAGTGCCGCCTCAAGCCCCGGACGGCTTCGTCAAGCTGTCCCGCAGCAGCAGCGCCACCCTTCGCGGGCGCAGCCAGCACGGGCGCCAGCAGCACCGCGAGCTGGTCCGCCGCGTCCAGGCAAGAGTCACGCTGGCGGCCACGGAAGGTCTCAGGAGGGACCACAGGGAGAGATGAGTGGGCCAGCACCTGAATCAGCAGCAGAGCATGGAGACTGTCAACGAGGCGGTGTAGCTGTCCGAGAGTTGCCTCGAGAACACGGGTCTGCGGAGGCTGGAGTGCCTCCGCCAGGAACTGGAGCGGCTCATCGGCATCAGCTGGGAGAGCAAACGGAGCCGCCAACGAGCCGCCACCCACGGCCACAAACTCCACTCCCGCAACGGGCGGAACCGGCGGCAGATGGAGACGAGAACCGGGAGCAGGTGCCGATACAGCGGGAGAAGGAGCTGGCGGCGCAAGGATCTAAGGAGGAGGCGCAGCAACAGGCTGCGAGGTCGCGGGGAGCGCGGCCGGATGAGGAGCCTCGAGGGCTGGCGAGGCACGCATCGAACTGCTTTGGCTCTGCGCCGCCCTCTCCTCCCGAACCGCCCTCGATACTTCCCGCTGAAGATCCGCCATCGTCACAGGCGGGCGATACCCCCCACCCCCGCCACGAGCACGGGGACCCCTCTAATCCCCCTGACCCCCGGGGTGAGCAGGCCAGTGCGACTGTTGCTGGTACCGCCGTGGAGACTCACGCCGGCGACGAGAGGACTTGCGGTCCTGATGGGGAGCGGGGGAATGGGGGCGCGTCGAGCGACGGTCAGGCGACGGAGGGCGTGACGGCTGGCTTGCAGGAGCCACCGCCGTCACAGCAGGGGCGGACTGGCCCGCCGCCGCAGGCGCAACCGACGGAGCCGGCTCGCCAATGGTGGCGGACGCCGCCTTTGGTGACGAAGCAGAGGCCTACGCAGGCAGGCAGGGGACAGAAGCGGTCGGCGCAACTGGGGCGCCAGGGACAGGTGCAGGGGGTTCAGCAACACCCCCAGCAGGGGCAGACGCCGACGGCTCGACAAGGGGAGCCAGGGGGCCAGGTGCCGCAGGCGGAGCAGACGGAACAGCAGCGGGAGCGGACGGGCCTGCCTCTGACCCGACAAGGGGATCCGCGGGTGCGTGGGGAGGAGTCTTTTCAGAGACTGCTGTCACGGGTTTCGGAGCCAGCGGTAGAGGGGGCTTCGTCGCCATGGTCGCCCTTTCGGGCTCCGCCGGAGGCTTGGCGACCGCAGCCGACCAGACGGCAACGAGCTCTGGCGACGGCTCAGGTGCTCCGGCAATCACCATCCCTAGAGCAAGGAAGACGCGTGGCGAGGAGAGAAACCGTAAGCGGAACAGGCGGAGGGCCAGAGAATGGGTATCAGGCGACGGCGAGAATGGCTTTAAACAATGTGGACGAAACTATTAGTAATGATGAAGACGAGCGGGACGACCCATCTTATAGGGAAGAAGCCCTTCCCGAGAGCGAGGAGGAGGAGACGGAGGAGGAAGGCATGGCGAGAGAAGGACCAAGGAGAAGGGAAGACGTGGTGCAGCAGGCGGAATTGCAAGTACCACCGATGACTCAGCCACCATCCGATGCTGATCGGACGGGTGCAAATCCAACCTCAGGCCCACCAATGAGATCGAGCCGCGCTGGGAGAAATCGAACCGCCATTGCCGGTGCTGCGGCGCGCCCACCAGCATCAATTCCCCACTACTTTTCACCAGACGAGCTAGCGAAGCGGACAGACCTGTTCGCAGCCATCGCGAACTGGGACATTCCAGCACTTTGCGACAGTCGTCAGCCTCCACTGTCGCGGCGTTTACCGCCAAACCTGTGTCAGCTTTTTTCGCTTGCGCTACTGACACCGTTACACCACCTATCACGAAACCCTGATTCGGAAATGGGATGGCGCCTGCTGCTGTTTCTCCCGCGCCTGACGCTTCGCCAGACCTCGCCACAACGCCCGAACTGGCCAAGTGTCAAGAGCCGGCTCCGAGCTTTCCAGCGTGGCGAATGGGATCAGCTGTACCAAGACGCGTTAAACGCAGTCAACACACCGCCCCCGACAATACATCAGCCAGATGCGACAGGTGTCATCAGCCGAGCAGAGAGCCTGGCAAAACGTGGCAGTCTGCGCTGAGCCGTGCTGGCCCTCGAGTCAACGCCCGTCTGCACACCCAGCCCGGAAATATTGGAGGAGCTGTGCAAAAAGCACCCACCCGCTGGAGATGAGGCAGTGACGTGGCCCGAGACACAAGGGTCAAAACTGTCAATCCCCCACCCTGACTTCGCTAAAATGTTGGGGAGATGCGAGAATGGGGTCGGGGCCGGACCATCAGGGATGACATTCGAACACCTGCGTGACGCGGCGATCACCAACGGAATGGTCAGCACCCATCTGCACGCCTTGGTCAACACTATGCTGGGAGGACAATTGCCAGGTTTGGTAGCAAACCTGCTGACGGCGTCGCGTCTCATCGCCCTTGCCAAGCCGGGGGGGGGGGCTAGGCCAATCGCCATCGGCGAGTGCCTAACGAGGCTGGCAGCCAAGGCTGCCCTGTTAATCATGGGAGAACCGGTCCGCAAATTTTTCCTACCGCTACAGTACGGGGTGGCAGTACCAGGTGGAGCAGAGGCAGTAATCCACGCAGCCAGGGCTTTTTCGGATGCCCGCCCGGACAGCCTGGTACTGCAAGCCGACATTTCAAACGCGTTCAACAGCATTTCGCGAACCGCCATCGCCGACGCGTTACACGAGCCCACCCTCTCGCCGCTGCTGCCGCTCGTGAAACTGACATACGGTAACCCGTCGCAGCTGCTACTGGACTCCAACTTCAACAGCGCACCACTAGCAAGTGAACGCGGCGTGCGCCAAGGAGACCCACTTGGGCCGTTGCTATTTGCAGCAGGGATACACGCCACACTTCGAGAAACTGCCGAATCACACCCTGACGTGCTGTGCTTGGCATATGAGGACGATGTCACCTTCCTGGGTTGCACATACTGTAGCTGCATTCACATACTTCACAGCAAAGTTGGCGCACCTGGGCCTCGCACATAACCCACAGAAATGTAGCGCCTGGAGCTCAAGCGCAATCGACACAGCTTGCCTTCCGCCAGGAGTGCCGTTCTCTAAAGACGGCGTGAAGCTACTGGGTAGCTTCGTGGGGCCGAAAAGCGGCGCAGCTCAGTTCCTGGCAGGTCAACTTGCTGAGATGTCAAAACCCCTACCCCTGCTCGAGCGAACAGACCCCCAGGTAGCAGCCCTTCTAATTACGCGATGCATCTCGCGACGAGTTGCATACCTCATCAGGACGACACCACTCCACCTCCTCCCCCGTGATACATGGAGCCAGTGGGGCCGGGATCCGCTCGCCACGCTCCTCACGTCGTGTGATATTCGTGTTCTGACGTGTCGAACAGAACAATCGCGGGTTTGGGAGCAAGCGTCGCTGCCGCCATCCTTGGGAGGACTGGGCATCACAGACCCCCTAGTCGAGGGGATCTACGGTTTCGCAGCCAGCTTCACGCAGGCGGCGCTGTATCTCGGCTGTCTACCGCTGGAAGAAGATAACGCTCTCACCCTAGCACGGAACCATATGCTACTGCCGCGGGTTGACAGCACACCGCTACACACATGGCTGACCGAGTGTGAAGAGGCACTGCCCTTTGATGCGCGGGAGGTACTGGAGAAGGAGAGGCTTGAGCGTTCTGACATCCGGCTCCAACACGTGCTAGGACTCAAAGTCCACGGAAGCAGATACGCAAAGCAGGTGCAGGCGACAATGCGCATGAAGCCGAATCCGCTCGCTGGTCACACGCAGCGGATGTTCCCTATGACAGGCTATGCCACAGGCGACTGGCTCACCGCGATCCCCATCGCTCCCGCAAGACGGATAGGGCCAGTGCACTTCGCCAACGCGGTACGCTTCCGCCTCGGCCTACCGTTTTCCACACCCAAGAACTGTGACTGCGCGGACCACACGCCTATCACCGACCCCCGCCTCCCGAACCACCTGCTCCGCTGCGGCACAGGCAAGCACCGCACGAACACGCACAATGAGCTGCGGGACGCCTGCATTAGCATGACGCAAGACGCGGGGTTTATAGTACACAGGGAGTCGGCCGCCTACTGCCCTATCGAGGAGCAAACGGCCGACTTCACCATGACCGATAGAAGCAGTGGGGCGGTGTACATCTGCGACGTTACCATCACTAACCCTATCAGAACTAGGGACCCGGAAGCACAAAAGGGCCGGGGATGGGCGGCACGTGAACAAGCAGACAAGAAAATCAAGCACTACGCCAACCGCCCAGAGATGGTTGGCTTCTTCCCACTGGAAGTAGACACCTACGGCTGCCCATGCGCCGAGGTCCCTGTCTTCCTCAAGCTCCTGGCAGACACAGCGGCTCGGCGCCACTTCAACGCCGACTCAAAATCCTATTATGCTGCCAAGTTTCTGCACCAATTCAGGCAACGGTGGTTGGTGGCTCTTAAGAGGGCTCAATCCGTGGGACTCCTACTTAAGTGGGGTGAGGCAGCGGTGGCAGAAAACCCGCCTGTAGGAGGCATAGGGCAGGAGCTGCACCTCAATCCTAGGTCTGGACATCTGTGTGGACACAATAATGGGAAATGAAATGTTGCGCGACATCTCAGGCGGGCAGAAGAAGCGCGTCACCACAGGCGTGTCCCTCGTGGGCCCCAAGCAAGTTCTCCTGATGGACGAGATCAGCACGGGGCTGGACTCGTCCGCCACCTTCCTCATCACGCGCTGCCTGCGCCATCTCACGCACCTCCACTCTGCCACCACGCTCGTCGCCCTCCTGCAGCCCGCCCCCGAGACCTACGAGCTCTTCAACGACGTGCTGCTGTTCTCCGAGGGCCACGTTGTGTTTCACGGGCCCAGGGAACACGTGGTGCCGTTTTTCAACCAGCTGGGCTTTGAGTGCCCAGAGAGGAAAGGCGAGGCGGATTTCCTGCAAGAGGTGACGTCGATGAAGGACCAGGGGCAGTACTGGAAGGGGGGGCGGGCAGCCAGCCGTATCACTATGTGCCGGCGCAGGCGTTTGAGGCGGCGTTCAAAGAGACGCAGATCGGCAAGGCCACTTCTGCCCACCTCTCGGTACGTACCACTGGTGCCCACCTCTCGGTACGTACCATGTTTTTTGTCGTCAGGCTCTGGTCCCTTCATCCCGCACTTTTGCTTTTGCTCCACAATTTTCCCAAACCTCCTGCCCTCCTAACCACTCCTCCCCTTTTTCAAACCCCACCTCACATTCCCAAACTTGTAAACCCCATCCTCACCCCAACCCCCACCAAGTGCCCTACCCCAAGGAGAAAAGCCCTCCCGGCGCCCTTGCCCACAAGCGCAACGCCCTCCCAACATCTGAAATGTTTTGTGCAGTCTTCGAGCGCGAGTTTCTCCTCATGAAGCGCAACACGTTCCTCTACGTCGCTCAGACCATCCAAATCATCCTCATCGCACTCGTCACCATGACCATCTTCTTCCGCACCACGCTTGACATCTCCCTGCAAGACGGCAACTACTACCTCTGCGCCATGTTCTTCGGGCTCATCATGATGCTCTTCAACGGCTTCACCGAGCTCACGTTGCTTGTCCTGCGCCTGCCGATCTTCTACCGCCAGAGAGACACGTTTGTATACCCCTCGTGGGCGTGGGAGGTCCCTATGGAGCTGCTCTCGCTGCCTTCTCCGCCTGGGCGTCCATCATCTGGACTGCCGTCACCTACTATGTCATTGGCTTTGCACCCAAACCGGGCAGGTGAGCGGATGGAAGGGAAGGTGAGCGGATGGAAGGGCAGGTGAGCGGATGGAAGGGCAAGTGAGCGGATAAAAGGGCAGGTGAGTGGATGGAAGGGCAGGTGAGCGGATAAAAGGGCAGGTGAGCGGATAAAAGGGCAGGTAGACAAACTCACCGCTTGACTGCCACATTTTTGCACTTCTTTTTTTTCGCTCGTGCGACATCCCTCTTTCGTTTTCTCTGCTCTCTTTTCTCTCCCATCTCCGTTGTTCACATCGCAGGTTCTTCATGCACATGCAGACGTGCCTCATACAACGTCCCACTCTCCTTATTTTCCTCCCATCCTCTCATCCTCCCCCTGCGGAGATAACTACTATAACATGAGCTAGACTACGGGCTAGGCACGGGGCAAGAGTGATCGTAGCGTTCGTTTACTTAGTCGTTTCCAAGTGCTCACACTACTTGCTAGTTCACGGGGAGAATTCGCGAGATTTTCACTAGGAAAAGTTGACAAGAATGATACAACCAGGTTGGCAAGACAAGACTACATCAGAGCTAGGAAGGAAGCAGGTCGACTGCCAGCACAGCACAGTCGACCGCGTTCCAGCATTTCTTGGTCGACCGCACTCCAGCAGTGCAAAGTCGACGGCGTGCCAACGCTGCAGGTCGACGGCGTCCAGCATTACTCCTGCATGACAGCAGCGCACCTACTTCGCTGGTGCTCGCAGGTGATTGGCATGCCGTGCCTTGTCATATGGACAACGCACACACCAAATCAACCTCGTGCTGACGAATGCATCTGATCAGCCACGTCAACCTCGGGATAACACCACCGAGGTCGGCCTCGCCACGAACACCTGGGCGTCTGTCGCGTGCCTTCGCAGAACCTCGTCACTCAAGTAACCAGGTCGACCGGGCAACCACGTCGACCAGATGCTCCTTCACGTGCCCGTCAACCACCCAAGTCGACGACCACTTCCAGTCGACCTCACCAGGTCAACCACACCCTTGGTCGACCAGCTCCAGGTTGACCAGCACATCTGTCAGCCGACCACACCGAGTCGGCTACCCCAGGTCAGCATCACCAATTCAACGCCCCTTCTAAGTCGGCGCCGACTTCCAGGCCGACCTCTTGAAGTCGGCGACCTCCCAAGTCGGCAACCTCGCAAGTCGGCGACCTCGCAAGTCGGCGCGGACTTCCAGGTCGACGCGCCACATCGCCGACCACCAGTTGAAGTCGGCCACCGACTTCCCAAGTCGGCGGCATTGCAGTGGCCCCGTGCAAGTCGACCAAACCCATCGACCAGCTCGCCCAAGTCGGCGTCGCCCACTGCTGCAAGTCGGCTGCACCTCCCGTACACCCAACCACGAAGTCGGCTCCGCCCAAGCGAGGACGGGGCCAACAACAACTCCCGTTGACACCCCCCACCATAGGTTCTTCATGAAGATGCTGCTCGTCTCCCTCACCCACCAGGTCGCCATATCGCTCTGCACACTCATACAATGCAACCTATCCATCTCCTTTCCCTCTTCCCCATCCCCCACTTCCGTGTTCCTCTTGCCCCTCTTCCCCCCCTTACAGGTTCTTCATGCAGATGTTTCTATTCTTCCTCATCCATCAGGTCGCCATGTCCCTCTTTCGTCTCATAGGAGCGCTGGGGCGCAGCATGGTGGTGGCCAACACCTTCGGCTCCTTTGCTCTCATCCTCCTCTTTCTCCTTGGTGGCTTCGTTCTCGCTAAGGGTGAGTGGTGCGCTCGCTTCTATAACGAGTACGTAGGTTGGGTGTAGAAACAGCGCTGGGTTGCAGCACGGTTGTCTGCAACTCCTTAAGCTCCTTTGCCTTCATCCTCCTCTTCCTGCTCGCTGGTTTCATCCTCGCTCAAGGTGAGTGAGCTTATAACGGGTAGGGAAGTGGCTTCGTTACAATGTGTATGTGCGACCAATACCACATGTTTTGAAACCTCATAACGTCCTCTTATCTCCCTCAAATCACCTCCCCTCTCCTCTCATATTCTCTCTCCCCCTCCCATGCGATTCTCCACTCTTTCGACATCCTTGGCTTGGCACCCTACCCTACCCCCACCGCCATTCTCCCTTGTCTGCTGCCCGCACATGCAGGCAACATTCACAATGTGTGGATATGGGCGTATTGGATCTCGCCCCTCATGTACGGCCAGAACGCCCTCGCTGTCAACGAGTTCCTCGCCCCCCGCTGGAATGTGGTGCGTGTCTCTCTGCTCTCTACTCTCTGGATCCAAGATTCTCGGCCTAATCGGACTCTCATTCACCCAGCTCTTACATCAGATTGTTGGAACAGTCGTGCCAACAGTTGCCTCATAGGATTCATGCGTGCAAGTGTTGCCATGGCATGCAGTCGTGCATTACCCCTCTTCCTCTCTGTGTATTCCTATGCAGTCGGCAGGTCCACTCTTCCCCCCAACGGCCACCATGGGCCAGGTGCTGTGAGAGAGCCGCTCGCTGCCGCTGAACAAATATTGGCGTGGCAGCGCTCATCGGATTTATCATCCTCTTCAACCTCCTCACCATTCTCGTGCTCGCCTATCTCGATCGTAAGCTCTCAACACTCACTCTTCCCTTCTCCTCCACATCCTCACCAATGTCGCACTCGCCTACTTCGACCATAATCTTTCAATTCAACCCCTTGTTTTACGATATCGGCCTTCATCCTCCTCTTCAACCCCCTCACCATTCTCGCCCTTGCCTACCTTGATCGTAAGCTCTCTCGGCACCCACCCTCCTCGCCCCTTGTTATGTTAGAGACTGGGCACGAGGTCTACGAAGATTAGGAGCCGAAATATCTCAAAATCGTTGGGCCTAGTTTCTGGACAGAAATGTCGACTTCACAAGAATCGCCGTCGATGAAAATTGCACTGTTGAAACTTAACCAATTTCAGATATGTTGTAGCCCTAAACCTTAGCTACATTTACCAAGTTGAATCGTGTTAAGAGGTGAAGCATATCTCGAGTTATCGTTTTCGGGTTTAGTGGGGGTATGCTGTCATAAGAACTTAACTCAATCACAAAGTTCTCACAATTTCACACGGGTTAGAGTAGCAAAGAACCAGGTTGGAGAGAAGAGGAGGACGAGAGGGAAGGTCCCAAGAGATTCCCCAACCAAGGAAACCCCATACCACACAATTTCCCTCCCTATAGGCACCCCAACTTTTACTTTTGTCACTTTCCCAACCTCGACAATCCACCTCAACCAACTTGGCCACACTTGCCAACCCAATTTGGTTTCTCCCAACCATTTTGCAGCAACTACAGTAGAAAAGACGAATTTCCCAACCCCCAAAAGTCTGTACCCCATATTGAGTCACTTCAGAACTTCCCAAAGTCGTTGCATCTCAATCAAAGCTTCGAATGATTATAACTTCGTCGTTCTTGCTCCGATCGCAACAATTCTTGGTTCGTCGGAAAGCTCTTGAGCAGAGGAGTCACTTCAGATATATTCTCAAGCCAAATAACATTCACACACACTCAGAAAACCCAAAACACACCGAACACAATTTCTTGCAAACGCTCAGACCACGCATGCAACGCACGAACATATGATGGGAGGCAGGCAGACGTGAATGCAAATAATAGCATCACATAACAAACTCCCCCTCTGGCTGCCAACCATCATCCCACATGCCTCAACTCTCAATGCACACTCATTCCAGCAAGCTTCATCTCTTTCCAATGCTCAGGTTCAGCCAGACGCTTGGTGAGAATGTCAGCCGCCTGCTGATGGGTCTTCACAATCTCCAGCCGCACCTCCTTGTCCAGGAGCCTCCTCACCCAATGCCACTTTGGCCTGATGTGCTTTGTCAGGCCATGAAGACAAGCATCCTTTGCAAGCTTCAGAGCCGATTCATTGTCACAGAAAATCACAGTCGGCTCCTTCTGGCACACTCCGATCTCCTGCGACAAACGCCTCAGCCACACCACCTCTTTTGCCCCATGATGCAGGGCCATGTACTCTGTCTCACATGAAGACAGCCCCACCTCATTCTGCTTCTTGCTGCGCCAGCTCGCTGCACCACCTCCAAACAGGCACACATAGCCTCCAATGCTAGTGCCATCCGCTTTCACTGAGTTGAAGCTAGCGTCGGTGTAGCAAGTCAAGAGCATCTCCCCCTTGCTCAAGTCAGCCGCACCCCTTTGCAGCCTCCGTTGCACAGCACTGTACTCCAAGCCCACTGATGTTGTAGCGCTCACATAGCGGACCAAACTCTTGGCCGCTTCCAGCTGCTCATGACTAGGGCGTGAAAGCACACTAGCAAGCCTGGATGTAGCAAAGGCAATGCCAGGCCGCGTGTGGTTAGCCGCATAATTGAGTGCCCCCACCATGGAATGAAACAGCTTCCTGTCACTCTCACCCACCACCTCTTCATCAGCACAGGGCTCCACAGTGAAACCCGAAGGTAGTGGGGTGGCTAGCTTTCCTCCATCTTGCAGCCCATACTTCTCGGCCAGCCCCTCACAGTACTTCCTTTGGTGCAACCTCAACACTCCCTTGTCAAGGTCTCACTCCACATGCATCCCAAGGTAATACTTCACATCTCCCATCTTCGAGCACTTGAACTGCATCTCCAGCATCTCCTCTACACGCTCAATAATAGAAGACGACTCGGAGAAGAGAAGGATGTCGTCCACGTATACCAGGAGCATGAGGAACTGTTCCTTCTCTTGCAGCAGGAACTGGCTGTGATCACACTCGCTCTTCTTGAATCCCCCAGCCAGCAGTGTCTCCTCCAGCTTGTCGTACCATGCACGAGGAGCCTCCTTCAGGCCATAAATGGCCTTCTTCAACCTGCACACCCTGCCGCTCCCATCATACAACCCCTCAGGCTGCTGCATGTACAGCTCCTCTAGAATGATCCCATTGAGGAAGGCAGTCGTGACGTCCAACTGCTTGATCCTCCATCCGCAGTTTGCAGCCGTTCCCAACATCACCCTCTTGTCCCGTTCCCCACAGGAGCAAAAATCTCGTCAAAGTCCTTCCCCTTTGTCTGCTGGAACCCCTCAGCCACAAGCCTTGACTTGTAGCGGGTCAGCTCCCCATCGGGTCCATACTTGTGCCTGAAGATCAGCTTGGAAGAAATGGCCTTCTTCCCAGGAGGCAGCTCACACAGCTCCCATGTCTCATTCTCCAAGAGAGAGTCGTACTCCTCCTTCACACTCTGCTTCCATTTTTCAGCATCGAGCCCACTCAATGCCTCAGCTAGCGTTTTGGGCTTAGGGACGGCTGCCCAGTAGCAGTGCGCAATCTCATCCTCATCACACTGCTCAGCCACACTCCCAGCATGCTCCACATTCCGTGAGCCACAGCGATTATAGCTCAGCCTGATAGGTGGGCGCACATCCCTCCTAGGACGGTCAGGCGGACGTTGGGCACGTGAAGGAGCATCTTGTTGCTGCTGCTGCTGCTGCTTCTGCTGCTGCTGGTGCTGCTCCTCCACCTCAGGTTCTCCCCCATCCTCAGTCACCCCAGAGATCTCCTCCTTTGAGACAGTGACCTGCACTTGCCTCGAAGGCCGCTGCACCTCATCGGCCTCAATGATCAGCGGTGTAGTAGGAAGCTTCACATCCCTTGACACAAACAGCTGTTGGCTGGTCAAGTCCCATATCAACGAGCCCTTGTGATCCTCAGCAAGCCCCAAGTGCACACCCCATCTCCCAAAAGCTTCCAACTTTCCCCTCTTCTCCTTAGGCACATGAAACACCACCATGCAGCCATAGGCTCTTAGCATGTTGACTGCTGGTGCACTCCCATACCACTTAGTGTAGGGAACCCACTGCTTGTCCCCCACAGTCACCAGCACCCTGTTCTTCACAAGGGCGACCTGCCTCAGTGCAGTCACCCAAAACGGATCCAGCAGCCCTGCACACCCAAGGAGAGTACGAGCACCTTCCTGCAGGATCCGGTTGAACTGCTCAGCTACACCGTTTTGCTGAGGGTTGTAGGGCACTGTGAGCTGATGCTGGATCCCCTTCTTCTTCAGCACCACCTCAAAAACAGCACCAATGAACTCTCTCTCGTTGTCGGTGCGGATCACCTTCACCTTGTGTCCACTCTCCCTTTGTGCTCTCGGCATCCACTCCTTAAGAACAGCCGCTGCCACCTCCCCCTTAGTCTTCAGAGGGTATACCCATACCGCACGCGTGTGGCCGTCCACAATGGTCAAGAAGTAGCGGCTGCCCGAGAAAGAAGGGGCCCTTGTAGGGCCCACCACATCCATGTGCACTAGCGCAAGTGGAGCCTTGGCTGGTCCCGTGCTGCTGCTGAAGGGGAACTTGGTGAATTCAGTCTCAAGGCATGTAGGGCAGCTCCCAATCTCCTTCGCTGCCCCCTTCACCTCCAACCCCTTCAAGCTCTCATCCTTCACTAGCTTCTGCGGCATAGGAAAATTCACATGACACAGCCTTTCATGCCATGTCTCCCAATCGGCCTCACCACTCCCAGATGAGGCCTTTTCCCATGCAGCGGTTGCGTCCACACCAGCAAGCACCTCACCATGTGGCTGCTGTGGTCGCTGCACCTTCTTGACTGCATCCAGGACCCCATTAGTTGGTGTAGTCTCCTCTCCTCCCGAAGTTGCTTTCGCCATTGCTGCTGCTGCTGCTTCCGTTGCTGGTGGTTTCCCATTCCAAGGAATGATGAGCAGCTGCCAGAGGTCCTTGATGCAGCTGCTCTTCTCCTCCAAATCCCACAGCAGCAACTTCCCAAGCATTGCACGGCAGCTTGTTGGGCCGAACGTAACTTTGGCCTTGCTTTTCTGCAGCCGGCACAGAGAGGAGGTTAGCGGACAAACCTTCGACCAGCAACACATTCCCCAGCCCCACAAGCTCCCCTTTGGCTCCCATCACCTTGGCATTCCCAATCTCAGGGAGTAGAGCACCTGAAGCGGCAGCCACAAAATTGATCTTCCCAGGGGGTTTTACCTCATCAAGCAAATGTGTCCGTGGGGTCATGTGACTTGTGCAACCTGAATCGATCACCCAGTGAGTGGGGGGGTGCATCATTACCTTCCCAACCGAGCCCACATCACCCTCACTCCCTTTCACATCCTCAACCACGAGGAACATCCCAGGGTCGGCATTACCTTGTGCACCATCACCTTGTGCACCTTGACCTTGCTCAGCACCACCTCATGCACGTTCACCACTTGGCGGCTTCATGCCTAGGGGCGCCTGTTATAGTCACAGTAGGCTCCAATGTGCCTAAAACGTAAGATAGAGTGCACAGTCGGATTTCTGCACAGCGGCTTTAAACGTTCATAGCGATCTGCTCACAACTCCAAATGACTTCATTCAACTTCGATCTGGAGCGCCTTAACGTTGCCTACAATAAGCAATTTAGATCGCACGATTTCACCAAGTATTCACGACACAGCATCGGTTTGAACGAACGGCACTATGGCAGCAACATAGTCTTAGAACACACAATAGGAAGAGTT